ACACAAACACACACACACACACACACACACACACACACACACACACACACACACACTTAAAATCTCAACCACCGAAGGAGCAGGTAAATCCACTCAGCTCCTCACAAGTCTTCCTCCCCTCCTCCCCAAACGCCTATCATCGCCTCTGTCTCACTCCCCTTCACTTCAACCCCCCCCCCCCCCCCCACACACACACCTATTTCCTCCCGTCCTTCCGCGTCAAACCCCCCCCCCCCTCCTCCATTTTTTCATCTTCCCTGCTGACTCAGGTAGCAAACACAATGAGGACCTAGCGACAAGAAAGAAAGCTATTCAACCGGATGGAGTGATTGAGGACGCCAGCGAGAGAGAGAGAGAGAGAGAGAGAGAGAGAGAGAGAGAGAGAGAGAGAGAGAAGAGAGAGAGAGAGAGAGAGAGAGAGAGAGAGAGAGAGAGAGAGAGAGAGAGAGAGAGAGAGAGAGAGAGAGAGAGAGAGAGAGAGAGGTATTTTGAACGGCTAATAAAAAATATAGATGGGAAGAGAGTCTTACGCTGTGGGGAGGGAGGGATGGGGGGAGGTGGGGGAGTGTGGGTGAGGAGGAGACTGCAGGCCCTTTAATAAGACCAGTATATTACCCACGCAGATTCGAAATGAACCCCAACTTCACTTAAGGGGCTTCAAAAAAAATACCATCAAAACATCCACCCTGCCAAATCCCTCCACCTATCCCTCCGAATGCCCCCCCCCCCCCCCCCTTCCCCAGCAGAGCTGTCTGTCATGCTGTGGCCTGGCTAATTTGAGTTCATTGGATGGCAATAACTTCATTTAGAGCTTCATCTCTTTTTTTGGGGTGGATGTAATGAGGATGCAGGGTGCTGCCAGTGAAAGGCCGCTCCCTCGGTAATAACCTGGATCTTTCCATCCTTACCCCACGCACCGGCGCGTGTTTATCCTTGGGGGCTGCGTCATCTATAATGTGTGATTTAATATCGCCTCTCTCTTTCCTTACTCTCTAACATTTAAACCAAAAGGGAGCGCGCGTGCGGAGGGGGAGCTGCAGGAGGTGTGCTGCTCAAACTCTTGCAGAAATCAATTCTGTTTTAGGAAAGAATTTAATCTCGAATTCTTGAAGATTTTTTTTCTTCTTCTGAAAAAGTTGAAAACCTTGAAGTTGATTGGTTTAGTTTTAGCCACAATTCTCATCATGTTAGTTTTTTTTAAATCAAAATTTCGTAATAAATCTTTAAAAGTTAGAATTGTCTGAAATTTTGACTCGTTACATCAGATGTATTCTTTAGATAATTATTTTTAGGAGAGTGTTTGCTTAAATGTTTAATTTTACATTCAAGGCCTTTTCTCTTTTCTCTCACCATCCGTTAATCGATTTCTGTCCATCTCCTGTGTGGTATTGATTTACGGAGTGTTGTACTTAGCGGATTTGTGGAAATACCTCATTATTTCGTTTCTTTCTGTGCGACTAAAATATTTTTTTACACACATCCAACCTTCTTCGACTTATGATCATAAAAAGATCATGCTCGAGGCTGATGTTTGTTGGTCGATAAAAATAAACTTTCTGAAATCGTTTGAAGAGGCTGGATTTCAGAATAAAGGCTCAAAGAACAATAAACGGAAACTTTTCGATGGAGAAAATTTTTAAACAAAATGGAACAAAATACTATATTTAGGATTTTTGATTAAAAGGCAGAAGTTACTTATTTGTATGTTTATTATTTTGTTATTCTATAATTATAGCAAAATTAGCTTTCTTGAAATGTAAAATAGAAATTTTTAAATCATGCAGATGATGAGTTTTAATTCGGAAAGAATATCACCACAGGCCGACTTTTAGAACCCATTTTCATTACAATATGCCACTTTAATAATTTTCATTTTAATTTATTTTTCTCTTTTAATTCGTTTAGTAAAAAACAGAATTTTCTTTTTATAAAACAAAACAAATGAAGAAAATAATAAATGACCTCATGAGTTTAATAAAAAATTAAATATGGGCACTTTTTCACTTAACTGCTTCTGTTATTTATTTATTGAAATGTTTTTTTTTCTGCAGGATAAAATAGGTAAGACTTGTGAGGATTAAATTGAGTCCCTTTCCTCGTTTCTCACACCCTCGCCAAACGCACACACGCACACATGCGTAATCCCAATGAAAGCGCGTCTATAAATTTGGGGAAATGGACAAATTGCAGCGATAAATCACGCACGTGGATGATCTGATGGCTGTCGCGCTTTCCAAAGACCCGGTCACAGTTTCACAGACACCCTTTTCCACCCTCCTGCCGCTCATTTCCACTAAACCACCAGTTCTCTCCTGGAAGCCAGCGGCGGCCCGTTAAAGCTGATCTGTGATCCAGTTCCTCTCCAAGCCGCCAGCCTCTCAGAGCTTCTCAGGAATCACCAGAATAAGACCTAAAACTTAAAAGCCAGTGCCAACTCTTCAAATGTATTGCATTTCACAGGGAGCCACCCCCCCCCCCCCTCTCTCTCTCTCTCCTCACTTTTCTTTTTAACTGCGCTCTTTAGGCCAGCAAAGTATCAGAGGAGGTGTAATTGAAGGGGCGGTGAGGGGATAGAGTAGCGGTCCCGCCTGAAAGCTGCTATTAAAGCCAAACGGAGTGAACACCGTAAAACGGCTCTGCCAACAGCTGTCCCACAATCCCGAGTATTATATGCCAGGATCCACATACACACACACGCGCGCGCACGCACGCACACACACTTTACAGGCCCCTGTTGCTGATGTAGTGCTTTCTTGAAAGTATTAGCTAAGCCAGAAAATGACCACAAGGATATCTGCGATAATGTTGTGTTTATTGGAACTTGCAGCTCTCAATGACCCCCCCCCCCCCCCACCCCTTTTTTTTAACACTGGCACACTTTTTCTAAATTGAAGTTTTAGCAGGGATGGCTGATTTGCTTCGCATATTTTTTACTTAATAAAGTTAGAAAAGTTGGAGAAACCAGGTGAGGAAAAAGAAAAAAATACTATAATTAATATATTACATTTCAGGAAGGAGGTTGGGTGATTTGACTTCCGGTTTGCACTGATTTCAACCATAATGGTTCATTTCATTGACAGAAACTTAAACCCTGCAGAGCATCCCACTGTGGGATTCTAACCTGCAGCACCTGCGCTCCCAGACAGCTAAGCTTCAAGCTTCTCCTAAACTTGATGACTGCACCCCCACCCCCACTGCTGTTTCAGTCCTTATTAGAAAGGCGACTGAAGAGGAGTTGTTTCCACTGGATTAAATGGTTTCTCTCCAAGTCAATGAATATGTAATGACGGCTAACGAAACCAGCCACCGCTTCGGTTTACAGAGCGCATATTAAACGCCTCTTCTGCAGAGGGAAAGAAAAAACACAGTAAAGAATGGAAGAAGAGAAGGGATACAATCTCGAATGCAACTTTCAGCTCGAGCACGACATTGCCCTGTAGTCAGAGATTAAAGAAGTATTTGCACGGAGAGAGAAAGAGGTTCCTCCTATGAGGTGTGTGTGTGTGTGAATTAACATTTTTTAACTGCTTTGGAAATATTGTTTCTGATAAGCAGCCATGCCAATAATGTAATTGAATTGAATTGATAAAAGAAGAAGCGACAGAAATGCCCGAGTCCCTCCGCTCCGATTGTTCAAGATATTTTTTTCCCCTTAGTAAACCCGATAAAACATTGATTGTTGCAGTCAGATGACCCGTAAAATTCGGGGGTTAGTTTTCTCCTCTGAGCTGAGCATATAATTATGCAAATAGTGATCTGACAGTGATCCGCTGGAGACTTCTGAAGGAGTGTGTGTGTGTGTGTGGCTGTCAGAGGGGGTGGCATTCCTAACTTTGCTTAATGCCTGGTTCCTTTGGAGAGAGTTCATCTTCTGCAGGAGTGGCGCAAGCAAGCGTGACAACAACTCTTTTAAAGGAAAAAAAAATTGAAATATCAGCAGCAGCATGAGGGTTCTCCTACTTCCTTTTCTCCAGATGTCATGGTCTCCACCCCTCCCAAACACCAACACAACCCCCCCCCCCCCCCCCCCACACACACACTTTATTTGTAGAGATGAAGTTGCAGCATGGAGCTGTCAGTTAACGCAAAATGATTGCTTCAAAAACTTCTGATTGACTTAAGGAGACGAACAGAAATGTCTTTTTTCCTTTTTGAAGTGCAAGAGGGTGGGTGGTACTTTACACTGGGTTTTTCACAACCTCAGATATTACCATGAAATGTGTAAAACAGCCACACCTGACAGACTGCAAATTGGTTTAAAGGCGTTTACATGAACTCTTTACTTCACGTGTCTAGACTATTTATCGCCTCCTTTTGATGGGAGCTGGCTCCAGGTCATAATTTATATCACCATATCATTGCTTTGGACAGGAGGCAGGTTGTTTAATGAAACTGACGTATTAAAATGATCAAACGAACACGAGAACTTAGTTTTTTCTTCTTTTAGGCAAAATCTCTCACACGCCTCTTTACATGCGCCCTGACGGACCATGGCTCCACTTGTTGTTCTGGGGGTTTAATAGAAAAAAGGTTTCTAAAGATTTATTGAGGGGGCGTTTAATGACCTGATCAGTGTGAAAACAGATGAAGCTCTAAATAATGAGGGTGAGAAAAAAGAATGTATTTAGATTTTGACACTCAGATTAAGGATCCAACTTTTCCCCAGAAATACAAAACTCTAATATCCCTACAAACAAACCTCTTAATCAGCAAGCTTTTATGTGAAGAGGCAAAAAAAAAAAAAAGTTTTACTAATCCAGAAAGCCGACAAAAGATAAGAGTGAATGGTGAGATGGCTGCAGAGACAATGACACAGCTCATTTTACACCCGCTGCTCGGCTTTCTCATCCATCCCAGCTCACTTCACACTTTCCGGCCACATCTTCCTCACTTCATCATCGCACCTGTCTCTCTGTAGCTTATTCATCTCCGAAGTGCAAAAATATATGAATAAATATACAGAAAAAACATTTAATAGAAGTTGGAAAAAAGATGCAAAGTTTGTTTTATTGACTTTTTAATAACAGGAAAGAAGTCATGAAACTTAAAAGTAATTGCTGTGCTGTAGAAGTGTTAAAATGTTTTTTGACTGTGCTTTCAAATTAAAACTAAGGATGAAAAAAATAATTTTTGCTTTAATCAACAGTGCAGCACAAAAAGAACCCTCAACAGCAACATAAATAAAATAAAAAATACAAGCTGACTTTGGATCTTCTGTTCTGTTCACTTATGGCTTGTCTGGTTTTGAAATATAAAACATCGAGGACTCTTGTTTATTCCTAAGGCAACAATATACAAGTTCTAGAGAAAAAAAACATTAAGTGATAGGAGCTGAGAAGCACATACATGAGCAATCTCAAAATGAAACTTATCAAATTTCAAATAATAAGCCAACTTCTTCCTGAAACCTGGAGAGATCAAAATCAAATTAGAAGGAAATTAGGCCTGCAACCATCAGCCACACTTGTCTCATTACAGCAGGGAGATAATCCACAAATGCCTTAAACCACTGATGGAGGGGAGGAATCATAACACAATGGTGTCAAATACAAAAACGAGGGGGTTGTCTAAGGTATCATGAGAGTCAGTATCCGGTTTGAGGTTTTACTAATGTCATGACACATTAGAAATGTGTTCCTTTAAGCCTTGAGCGGTTTATAAAACCAACCGGCTTTATGGAAAAAAATAAAAAAATCATCCAGTTTGCGTCACACAGTCAGATTATATGAGCTGAAGGAAGCTGACTGTGACACCTCTAAGTACACAAAAAGAGTACTTTGTTGCAAATCAAAAAAGGAAATATGTTACCGTTCTGCAACAAATATCATTCCGGCTGGGAATAATATTGAAATCTTGGATTTCCTGACACGTGTAAGGTGATAAATTGGAGTTTTATGAGTGTTGTGGGCTGACTTTTGGCTCCTGGTAAAATGAGACATCCCTCAAACCCGTTTTGATGCTCTAAGTGATTTTAAATATTCTCCAGGATTTTCCATATTTAGACCAGGTTGGGTTTCTTTTATCATGCTCAATCGAATGAAAATTTAAGGTTATCCACCTGAAAATGAAACAACAGTAAAGTGGAGCATTTACAATAAAGGCAGAAATATACTCTGCAAACTTTTGCAACAATAACCCACAAACAAGTAAACACCCACTTTGGTCTTGAGAAGCTGACTGTTAAACATGAAGAAATGCAAAATATTTCTTTTAGATTTTATTCTAAGATAAACAAAAAAAAATCTTATTATTGGAGCAGATTTTTCATTAATGATTCAAAAAGCAACACAGAAATAATTGAGCTAATGGGTAGATGAAACAGATTTTTAGCTAATGATCATTTATGATTTGTTATTATGAAATAGTTTTAATATGCAGGAAACAATATGTGGAATGGAACGATCCTGCATTTTTCAGAACATAAAACAGGAACTTATTTGAGGAAACCCAGGCATGGGTCCTGCATGAGGAGGACAGAGGAAGGGGGGAGAGACTGGAGGACAGGAGGGGTATTAGCTCACTTCAGGCTGATGTCAGGACAATTAGAGGCGCACCACAGTGCTTTGTGCACAGTGCCTGTCAGCCTTAATCTCTGCCGCTGTGCCCTGTACCTGCAACCAGGCCACAGCCCACGGGAAGCGCTAACACTCAGACCCATATTGCTTTGACAGTTGCAGTCATCTAGAAGTAATGCAAAACGTTTTTGTGATGTATACACGGCGACCCCGTACTCCCGCCTGTAACAACATGGCGACGGTGAGAGGGCAAAGCTGGTAAAGGCCGGAGGGGAGAAACGAAACCAAGGGAAGCGAGGCAGGAAGGAAAACTGGTGCGGTGTTACAGGAAAAGAGAGAGAAAGAAAAAACATTCTGCACACCCAGATCTGACCCGTCACCAAGTCTCAAGTCAGAAAAAATCTTGTCAAAGTTGACGGTTCTCTACAAATCTTGGTGTTTGTTTCTAAAGGAGCTGCGGCGTGTGGTGACAGGGTTGGAGTTCTCTTCTGCCTCCTCATCTTCCCTTGCCTTTAGCGCCTCAGCAAAGAACCTAAAGATGGAGTCGAAACTCGTCCAGGAGGTCAGCTCATGCCTCTCAGTGCCTGCAGGAAACCAGAAACACAAAAACTTTGATTATTGTTGTTACAAAGTACGATTGATGCCTTAATAATCACACAAAAACAACTTTGGCACACTACTGGATTAGACACCAAGTCTCACTGTGAACTCATTGCTCGATGCAAAATGAAGGCCTTATTCGTGAGAGCCGCGACAGCCTCTGACCCGTTAGTCCGGCGGGACGGCTTTAATATGTTATCCAAGCAGATACCCGATAATCAACACCACTGCATGTTCAAGGAGATGGAAAAAGGTCCTTCCAACAACACCAGAGATATGCACAATGGCCTCACTAAGTGAAAGCAGTGGAGCGGTAGTCATTCATTCTAAAGGGCTGATTGAGGAAATGCAAGAGAAGCTGGAGAGAAGCAACAAGCCACCATATCAGGTGGTCTGGCAGTCAGCAGTTGGGGGGCAACGGTACTGGGTTTCCTTCTAACCTCCTTCAGGTTGGTGAGTTCCCAAGTTGGGGTCACACTGAAACTTGAAATCTGGTACATGTGGCCTCCGGTTTCTCAGGGTTAGGATATCATAGGGCAGATATTTAGTTGGATAGCTTATAAACTCAGTGGCATCTAGTTCCACTGTGGATCTACGTGCATCTATGAAGAGACCCCACTGCTTTTAGCTCATATGCTCACTAAGAATACGACCCTAACAGATAATGGTTCTAAACCTAACCGTAAGGCTAATGGGACAGCGGCTAAGCAACACAACAGTAACCAGAGCTTAAAACCTTATGGGGGTGTCCTCTTGCCCCACAAAGAGAGAAGGGGTCTGATCTGAGACATTAGGACCTCCGTCCTTTGATAGGTGGATCAAAAACTTCTTGCTGCACAAAGCTGTAAAATAATCCGTCTGGTTGTTACAAATTCTCTCTTTTGAATCTTCTCCACACTTAAACACTATTTTGCTATAACCCATACTTATGTGAGCTTTAGTAATTTTTCTGGTTGATTAACAAAAAGAAATGAACAGTAGACTTGTCTTTTGATGACCCTTAACCTTTTTGCAAGGCTCAAGTCATTAGTACTTATAGATGTGCCCCTCTACTTTAGTTTCTTTCTCTTCTTCCTTCCATCTCTGCGCACGCTGCTCTCCTATAAAAAGCTCGACTGAAAGGCCGCAGGGATACAATTAGGAAGCACCTCAAAGGCTCTCTCACGATAGACAGGCCTCAGATGACCATTGCACTGACCTCCTGTTTATTAGATTGAACCCAGCTTGGACGCATTAATGGGGATGGCATACCTACGCGTATGTGTGTGCTTGTAAGACCAGAGGCAAGCGTACGGTTCTGGGCTTAGAACATGCTTGGGTTCAGTTGCTGCAGGTGTGTTTTATGTTTAATTTGTGCGCACAAATAGAGACGAAGGGGTTCTGGATCTTTTGGAGATAAGGGACTAAACAGCAAGCAGAAGGCAGTCAGTGCCTGGGGTCAAATTTACTGGTCCGGCATTCATGGTAGTCAATAACCCAGCAGTCTCAGTGACTTTGCTACCTGTGTAAGGGCTCATCATAACACCCGTCCCTAGGAACAAAGACATAACCCTCTCGCACCTCTAATCTATCATTTATATCCAATTTGAGGCAATGTGATCTTTTTCTCACCTTCTTTATTTCCCCTCTTCTTGCTCGTTTCTCCCTCAAGAGTTTTTACTCCTGTTTTATTCTTTTTTGTCTCCTCCTGCAGATCAATGCCGCAGCGCTCACTTGTTCGCCCTGAACTGGCGGTGAACTCCCACGGCACGCCGCCAGCCTCTCTTCCCTATCCCATCACAGTTGAGGGTCACCGCGAGGGTGTCTCCGTGCCAATATGCAGATGAGCTTGTGCCCCCCCCCCCCCCCGCCCCGATGACTGATGCTAAGCTCCACCTCTCGCTAGAGGGTCTTGAGGCTTCGATTCAAAGTCTCCTCCCTCCATTGCAAACATAAACCTGCTCTCATACGGACTTAAACGAGCCTTTAACAACTTATGTCCACTCTTACTTTAATGGGTGAAGAGTGCTCAAGCAAATGGATGTTATCAAAGCTGAGATGTGCACTGATTTAGAGGCTAGACTGAGATAGAAAGTGAAAATGTCAGCCCTGGTACAAATCAACTTAACATCGTTCATAGCTACATGGGTCAAAGAGGAGTTTTCTTGCTGTATCTTGTTTGTAAAACGAACCTGTAAGTAGTCAAAAGAGTGAGTTTTGATCGTAGAGCTTGCTGAAAGCTCCTATAAAAGCCAAGTGAATGTTTTTATCACTTTGCCCGCAGATCTCATCCTTTGGATGACTAATAAACTTACATTGCGCTGCCTATTTGTGTGTTTCTGTGTTTTGGTCATGAAATCTAAAGGTAAATCTAACAGTTTCAGGCTGTTTGCATAGAAAAATGCAAATGAGATGAATCAAATGCAAGACTAGGCCTGCAGTTAACACTAGGTAAAGGCAGCGGTAACACATTCTAATGATTATAATAGCTACTGAACGCTGACCTTGAGGTGAGGCAGGACATTACCATTTCCGTGGAGATGTTTGACTGTAAGGCAGAAAAGATCTGGTGCAGAAACATGATCTGTGGTTAGAGCTCCCTCATGTGCTCTCTAAGGTGGCCGTGACACAGTTTTCACTCAGGGCCTGACCAGCGGCCTGTGGTTGACCACTTTGTGTGTGTCGTCTGAGCTCGGCGAGGTTGTCGTGCTATGCGACAGGAAGGGGGGAGGATTTGATAGCGGGTATATCGCCTCCTCCTCTACGCCACAGCCACGGGAGCCCTCTCTCGGTAACTGACTGACTGTTTGATCCGGCTCTGACTCTACGATACAACAAATTTGATCACACACACCCACACTCATCTTGGAAGTCATAGACTGAATAATTGTACTTTCACTCACTCCAAACACACACGCACGCATGCACGCGCGCGCACACACACACACACACACTACAGGAATGAGCGTTTGTGTGCTGTGAATTGAGGGAACAGAGGAGCTGAGTTTTGAGCTGGAAACAAGGAAACTCCTGCATAGCTGAGGGCCATGCTTTCTTCCCGCTGCACCAAATGCTGCATGCTGTTACAAATGGTAATCGGCTGTAATTGTCACAAATTTCAAAACAAACGCTAGGTGACTGAAAAGCCAAAGTGACGCCCCGAGTGATACTCCGACAGAAACTGCGAATCAAAGCATGCCGACTATAATTAGGTTCCATCTGGGCTACGTTATTTAAAGCCGCACCAGTTAATTGCTTGTGTACAAATGGCCTATTTTATTTGAATCAAATTCTTTTTTGTTCATAATTACACTGATGTGAAGGGGGGCATATCTCTTTGCCTCAGTTATAATAATAAATACATATTCAAATTAGGAGCACTTTGAGGCAAGGGGAGGGTAAAGATGATACTTTCTTTGTACCATTTGAGTTTCTTTAAACAATTACAGGTGATTGACACATACTGACATTTAGGTTAAATAAGTAATGAACTTCAACAAAAAACAAGATCAACCCTGATGGGATCATAAAGTAAAAATTACAAATACACAGCTCCTGACAGGGCTAATATTCTTTAAGATACTAATATATCAGAACCTTTTCTCATTTCCTTTTATTTGCAGAAATTTCATTTAAAAAAAGAAAGCACACAAACAAAAGATGATCTAATCAATTTCCTATCAAATGTAACCCGAGCTTTTGTTTTATCTCAACGCGAGGCAGAGCAGAGCGTTGTGGTGCTGGCCTTGGCTGGTTGTAACCTTAGCCAAGCTGCTGTTTGTGGAAACTATCTGTTGCATGCTTCGACTGGAGGAAAATCGCTGTCTGTATCCTGGTTGTCAGATGATCAGATTTCCGCCCCTGACACTCTCTGATATTAGATGATCTTCTGTGTGTGTGTGTGTGTGTGAGAGGGTGTGCACAGAGCATGTTGGATGTACGGTTGTCCCTAACCAATGCCCGCGCATGTGCACTCAGTTGTGTGTATAGTCACTTTGCTTGCAGACATGCGTAAAGGTCAGGGATGTCATTTAGTCCCACATGGCTGTCTGCTGAGGCGGACGCGATGCACTGCCACCAAAGACAAGGTCAAAGAGAGTCCAGGCAGGTGACAGGTGGTCCGAGCAGAGCTGGCCTCTTAATGAAACACGGCCATGTCACCTTCAGTCAAAAACGTAATTAACCACTTTCACTAAATGCATCAAACAAGAGATAGAAAACGACCCCAAACAGCTTCTTTGATCTGAACATCGTCCCCACCGTCGCCTCTTGACTGAAATGTATTTTTAATGCTTCATTGTAAGCAGGGTCTGCCCCCCCCTTCCTCCGCTCACATTCCTGTCATCCTGCTTTTAATTGCTTTGCATATTATTGCGTGTTGTCGTTAGACAAAAACAAGGCAGAACTCATTACACACCCAGAGACGAGGAACCTGAATCACTAGCTAGAGGGGACGCTGAGGGGAGTCTGCATTTACTTAGAAGGACAAATACAAAGAACAGAAGAGACAAATAAAACCAACAGGAAAGCCAGAGAGAATATCACATATGCTGGTTGAAATCATCACCCAGCCAAAGACACATTCAACATGATGGTCCATGGAGACGGAAACCTGGGACAGCAAGGACTTTGTACAAACGCCTTATTCTGCTTTGGTCTCATCAAGTTAAACACCTTCATCTATCCTTCCCAACTTCTCCCCTCTTCACCCGGACACCGAGACTGGACTGAGTGCTTTTTTATTTTAACAGGGAAGAGTGGCCTTGGCCGTCATAAAAGACACTTGCTTTTATAGACTTGGAGCCGAGTATTTACAAGATTACCCTGGTCCAAGGACTGCACAGGCTATTTGATACCGGCGTCAGTTGCTCGTCTCTCTTCTCCTGTAAAAATTGAAAGTCCAAACATGCCCCCCCCCCCCCCCCCCCTTACAGGAACCCTCAAAGTCACTTGTTTTACTCACCTCTACTGAAAAGGTTTGAGATAATATGGAATAAAAGATAAATGCGTGTAGAACTGAACAAAAACGAATGAATGCTAAATGTTAAGAAGGACACACACAAAATCCAAACAGTTAAACAAACCATGTTGATTTCATTGGTTAGAATTTTTTTTTTAAATTAAAATGTTCCCTCATCAATGAAACACCAAGAAAATTAGATTTTCTGATTATTCTCAACAATAGAAAATAAAATATTATCACAACAGATGGGGACACACACACACACACACATGCATGCACGCACACAGACACACACCTGCATGCACACATGCACAAACACACACAACGGCCAACTATTTGCTTAAAAATCACTCACATCCTGCTGCTCAAGGAAACAAATGTTCACTCCAATTATGTCCAAGACAAGTCTGCTTTATTTTTTAAAGTTTGTTGTAGGGGTTTGATTTACAGTTGGTACATAGTAGAAAGAAACAGCTTAGGTGAAAACATGCAGGACCTTTCAGGGATTATCACACACCTAACAGCGTAAACGATGCAGGGCTACTTCCTCGTTCAGACCTTCTGCTCCTTCTGCATCCCCATTGGTTGGGACATAAATAGCAAACACTCAGGAGCTGCTAGCTCGCCTGACATGGCTTTGTTTTTAGGCCGGTTGAGGGGAGATGGAGAGCTTTTGTTCCAAAGCCCAGGCACAATGTGACTCAAACACAGCAAAGAGAAGGCCCCGAAAAAAAAAGTACATCATTAAAGCTACTAAATGCATGCATATGTATGCACTCATATCAGAACAAGCAGAAAACATGATGCCAGGGCAAGGGTCGTGACGGATAGCCTTGTGAAGTAGTGAATGGACAGTATGGAGTGGAATCAGAGCTTCTACATGGGCAGGTATAGCAATGTGCATACAAGAAGAGAGGATATATAATCAAATGACACACTCACTACACCACTTCACTTGACTACACTCCTCATTCCCACAAACACACGCCGTCTGGTCCATTTGAACACAATGAGGTCTGGGACACACACACGCACTTGTTCACCTCCAGGACAACTCCAAGCTGAGAAAAACACACTCCTACAATATCAGACTTACACACATCTCTCAGTAACAAAGAACCTGGAGGAGGAGGAAGAGGGGCAGACAGCATTCACAATCAATGGTCAAAGAATAGACAGCCTTGAAAACAGAAACCCCACCCACACGAGGCTATGGTGACACCTCAACATACAACACTCATTCACATAAAGACGAATCAAACACAGCTATTACCAACCTTACCTTAGGCTTTGTGCAATGCAAGGTGCTACTTCTAAGTATCTAAGGATCAAGGAGCCTTGTCAGAAAATGGACAGCATGAAATAAATCATGTTCTCCATTTTCTTTTCATTCCATCATATAAATTATTTTTCCTCTTGATGCTAATTGTACAACTTACAGCGTTATAACTCTACAGCAAAGACCTGGTCATAAAAAGCATAAAGTAGACGCGTTTCCCTGTAGCTGACAACTATCACCAGGATAGTCCAGGCCATATTTAAGATGCCACAATCAAATAAAAATAATCTTTAAATAGTATGTGTCCACCTAAATTTGTTATGATGGTTTAGGTTGCTAAAATATGATACATGCTAACTCTTTTCTAGCCAAAATTAGCACAGTGTTGAAGCTACGCTAACAGAGTTGATAGCTGTTTTTGTATCTAAATGTATAACTCACTGCTGACGTTGTTAGCATTGCTTCCTCAGTAAGGAGCTAGCATGTATTGTTTAGAAACTCAAAGCAGAAGCTTCACAGTTATGAATGTAGGTGGACACATCCTAATAAAAACTATCTACATTTGATTATGGTGTCTTAGGTGTGGCTTAATTTATCCCATCTACATTGTTGATTTTTATCCTCTAGCTGCAGCGATGGCGTAAACATGTCACGGAGAACAGTTACCCGGAAATTATTCAGCTGGCTAAAAAGTCAGGAAGTGTCAAACCGAGGGTCCGTGGCATATAGCCTATTACCCAGAGGTGTGACCAAGTCACTGCTTTGCAAATCACGAGCAAGTCACAAGTCTTTCCAGTCAAGTCTCGAGTCAAATCCAAGTCAAAGACAACCGAGTCCAAAGTCAATGATGTGGAAGTCCAAGTCAAGTCCAAGTCCTTAACTTTGAATTTTCAAGTCATCCGTCCAACTTCAATTTATTGACAATGATAATAAATAAATTCCAGAAATAAAGCTTCTTAAAGCTTCATTTATTTACTCAAACAAAAAATAAATGATCAATGACCTGCATTTGTATAGCGCCTCACAGAGTAAGGACTCCAAACGCTTTACTCTACAGTGTATCATTCATCCATTCACACACTGATG